CAGATTTAAATTAAATAAAGCTTTCTCATAAACTATTTCACATCATGCTTCAAAATGCTTCACATCTGATCACTAACATATATCAATTTGCAACTGAAGAGAGCAGTTGATAACAACCACAATACTGTAACACTTTAGATAATACTCGATGTGTGTTGGAATTCCTTCAAAATATTCCCTAACAGGATTTTTTACATTAAATGAATCCACTTCAACAAAGGAGGACAAAGTACGAGACTCCTTCCCTCCTCCTCTCCTACAATGTCCACCTGCCTTAACTAACTTCCCTGAGACAGCTCCACCCCAATGAGCACAATCCCACTCAGTCTATGGCTTTGGCTGTCCGGTACTTTTAGGCAGAATGAGAAACAGAAATTATTCAAGCAAGAACTGGTAAATATTGTATGTTGTTGTTTATTCATTCAGCCGCTTCCAACTCTTCATGACCTCATGGACCAGCCCACACCAGAGCTCCCTGTCGGCCGTCACCACCCCAGCTCCTTCAGAGTCATGCCAGTTACTTCAAGGATAACATTTATCCATCTTGCCCTTGGTCTGACCCTCTTCTTTTTCCCTTCAATTTCCCCCAGCATCATTATCTTCTCCAAGATTTCCTGTCTTCTCATTATGTGGTCAAAATACTTCATCTTTGCCTCTAATATCCTTCCCTCCAGTGAGCAGTTGGGCATTATTTCCTGGAGTATGGATTGGTTTGATCTTCTTGCAGTCCAAGGCACATCCAGAATTTTCTTCCAACACCACAGTTCAAAAGTGTCTATCTTCCTTCGCTCAGGCTTCCTTATGGTCCAGCTCTCATATCCATAGGTTACTATGGAGAATACCACTGCTTTAATTATGCAGATCTTCATTGCCAGTGTGATGTCTCTACTCTGCACTATTTTGTCAAGATTGGTATATTGTATAGTACAGTCATAAAATAAAAAAGCTTAAAAGGAACCCCTTGTATGATTGTAGGCAATTCAAAATGTACAATAGGAAAAGTCATTAAGTTCTTTATGTTGAGACTTTGGATACATCTACACTGTAGAATTAAAGCAGTTTACCACCACTCAAACTGCCATGGCTCAACACTATGGAATCCTAGAGTTGTAGTTTGGTGAAGCATCAGTACTCTCTGTCAGAGAACGCTAAAAACCTTGTAAAACTGCAATACCCAGGATTCCATTGTGTATAAATGTGGAAGTTCAAGTGATGTTGAAATGCATTAGTTCTACAGTGTAGATGCACCTTTAACTAATTATTTATTTTTAGCTATAGAGCATATACATTTTGTCTGCTGCAAGGCCCCCAAAATGATGTAGAAGGAATAAAAGCATTTAAACCGTTCAATAAACAAATACAACATTTTCCCAAAGACAACTAAAGCAACCAAAGCAGTGATTCTTAATTTTAAAGAGCAAACAAAAAACACAGTCTTCACTGCCCCCATCACAACTCAGAAGGATTGGATCCAACCTGACTACCACTGGGTAGCACTTCAAAATGACACTATAGAGAAGGCTGTGCCTCATTTACCTAACAATCCAGCCTTTCAGGATCTCAGTTTTTTGGAAGGTTCAATATGGGCCAAAGCAGTATTCTCCAGTTCACTAGGTATGATTTATATAAAGCTTTATATGTATGTATGTGGAGCCCCTAGTGGCACAGCACATTAAACCACTGAGCTGCTGAACTCGCTGAGCCAAAGGTCGGCAGTTTGAATCCGGGGAGCGGAGTGAGCTCCCGCTGTTAGCCCCAGCTTCTGCCAACCTAGCAGTTTGAAAACATGCAAATGTAAGTAGATCAATAGGTACCACTCCGGTGGGAAGGTAATGGTGCTCCATGCAGTCATGCCGGCCACATAACCTTGGAGGTGTCTACGGACAACGGCAGATCTTCAGCTTAGAAATGGAGATGAGCACCAACCCCCAGAGTTGGACATGACCAGGGGAAAACCTTTACCTTTACTATGTATGTATGTATGTATAGATCTTTGTATGCACTAGAAACAACTTTTAGCTAATATAGCTGCCTATAAATTGTGAAAAATAGCCAGTGTGGTATAGTATTTGTGTGTTAGATCTTGACTGGAGAACAGGGAATCCCACTGGTGATTTTAGGCAAGCCACATTTCGCCTCAGAGGAATTTATTATTTTATTTATTTCCTTCATTTCTTCCCCGCCTTTCTCCCACAAGGAGACTCAGGGCGGCCCCACCCAAGCATCAGTGATGTTGTCAACATATACATATGATTAAAAACAGTAAAGCTTGATTAAAACATTATAAAAATCATCAAAAAATTCATTTAAGAAGGCAAATCTCACAAAGAAAACCTTGTTATAGGGCAACCATAAAAAAGATTTGAAGTCACACTGCAGCAACAGCAGCAACAACAATCTGTGGGATCTGATGCATTTTCATTCTAGGTTTCCTGCATGATAGTCATAAGAAAAATATGTATTTATCTGAATTTCAGTAAAAGAAGGTGAGGAATTCTCAGAAAAATGTAAGTTGTGCAACAATGGTAAAAAATACAATTTGTTGAAAAGTGACCTTGGCTAAGAACAAATTTTCACACAGATTGTTAAAACTGTTTTGTTTTTTGTTTTGGGACCTGTCTACTGCTCCAGTATCAGGATATACAAAAACCCAGTGCAGAGAAACTGCTTTATAATTTTTTTCTATTCTTTTCTATTTCTTTATTTTTTCTATTATATTCATTTTCTATTCTTGCCTTTCAATCACACCACTAGGAGCCCCCGGTGGCGTAGTGGGTTAAACCCCTGTGCCAGCAGGACAGGTCACAGGTTCAAATCCGGGGAGAGGCGGATGCGCTCCCTCTATCAACTCCAGCTCCTCATGCGGGGACATGAGAGAAGCCTCCCACAAGGATGATAAAAACATCAAATCATCTGGGCATCCCCTGGGCAATGTCCTTGCAGACTGTCAATTCTCTCACACCAGAAGCAACTTGCAGTTTCTCAAGTTGCTCCTGACACGACAAAAAAAATCATACCACTGTTTGTATCGCATAAAGCCCACTACCCATCATCTGTCGATCTTCCATAACAAACACACCAAATGAATGTTGGCTATCTGGCCATGTGAGCTTTCTACTGCATTTTTCTCCCAACTCCAGGGAGAAAAAAGACAGAAAGGTGACACTCTGGTTCATGTTTGTTAACTGTAGACAGTAACTAACTACCTCTGCTGTGGATGATTTCATTCCCAACTAAGACAAGATGCCGAAGAGGGTACTACTTTACTGTAGAGTCTAGACATAGCAAGTCAAAATGATAGCAGCAGATACTGGTTGGGTAGTAGATTTTGATGGACAAAGTGGAGCAAAGAGTAAAACACTCTCTGCCTTATAATGCTAACTAAAAAGTCAACAAGTAGATGTCCTGTTGGGTCATCAAAGTGATAAGTGGATGGTTTCTTTAAAAGTATAATTACATGCTCTGCATAATATTTATTTATTTATTTATTTATTTATTTACTCCATTTGTATACCGCATTTATCAGCCTGAGACGGCGACTCAATGCGGTTTACAATAAAAATGAACAACACTGACAATATATAAGACACACATACACAAACGACACACATATAGTCATCAACGCCTCAATTAGAGTCAGATCCCGTTCTCACAGTCCTTTTTCGTTCCTTGTTCAAATGCCGTCTTACTGAGTTAGTTGTTATTGCATAGTTATCCGAATGCCTGCTCATAGAGCCACGTCTTAACCCTCCTCCGAAACACCAGCAATGAAGGGGCCTGCCTGATGTCCACTGGTAGGGCATTCCATAGCCGAGGGGCCACCACCGAGAAGGCCCTGTCTCTCGTCCCCGCCAACCGCGCGGGGTGGGACCGAGAGCAGGGCCTCCCCGGACGATCTTAACGTCCTCGCCAGTTCATAGGTGGAGATGCGTTCGGAGAGGTAAGTGGTATATTCCAGTTCAAAGCAGAACATGAGGTATTTTATACAACTGTGTGGAAGGGGCCTAGCATAGTATAACACAAGAAAAAATGAAAGTGATACGACAGTTCATGGAATCCTTAAAAATCCTTAGAAAATATTGGAATAGTATTCAACAGTCAGAAATGTAACTTAATGCATATAAATTTTAAATGTCTGATCACCATATACAGTGCTATAAAAACTCAGAGATATCAGGTGGTAATGTGAACATATGTTGCTAAAAGTAATACTATCTTTAATTCAGCACACATCTGTTCTGAACAAAATTGTTTCAGAGTACTAAGTAATTAAACCTTAATTACTGCAGCAATGAAGCATTTTTCTCCTTGCAAGCACACAGCAATGAAAGGAAAGGTAGCCATTTTTTGGACTTTTGCTGATTCTGATATTCTACAAGAGATGCTAATTATTTCATCGTTGAAATCATATCTTCTAGTCTTATATATCTAAGTCATAGTAAATGTATTATACCATATTCAGTTACCACCATGCATACATATGCAGAATAGACCACATCTAAAAATTATCACTATGCATCGGTTTACAAGTGGTATAAATGTGGTGCTTTGATGAAAAAACACCTGTGCATTATCTCTTTTTTTCAATGTTTTATAAAATGTATAACGAGCATAAATATGAATTTCCCTGATGCCTCCATATATGGAGATACTAAAAATAATCTATTACTCAGCGAATGCTGCAAATTTGGTAAAAAAAAACCCTTTGAAACATCATCCGAGTATATTCAAAAGAGTATTTAAGTATTGTATGAATGACAAAGACAGTTGTTAACTGAATTTACTTTTTTTTAAAATAATGTTTTGTGACAGTAATCTAAATAATGAATATTTAGACAAGTGCAACATGGGCATTGGTGGTGTTCCCTGCAGAACTGCCCATGTGGTTCCTTTCTACATGTGCATAGTTTTTCTTTGGACTTTGACTTCAGAGTAGCCATATAATATAGATTTTCCAATAAGCCAAACCAATACAGAAAATAAAGGTGGAGAAAGATTACCTGCAACCAAAGCCTATTGCCTTGGACTGTTCTGCCATTAGCATTGCACTGGAAAGTGGCAAACTGCCCAGCATTGACTTCCACACTTTGGACACGCAGAAAATGGGGTGTGCTCGCTGTTGAAATCAAAGTGCGTGGAGAGAGAAGCACATTATTAGTACAATGATACTCAAATTAATTTGTCTCATTTTAAATAAATGTCTGTTTTCTATAGACAACTTCAACTTCAAATACAATACAAATAAAATAACTACATACACTGCTGTTTTAACAGAAATACATATATATTGTTGGAAACCAAACAAGGATGTATGGAATTTATTTTTAAATATGAAACTCTACTCTGCTTGATATTACGAGTGTACTTTTTAAAGAAATTTTTTGGAGGTAACAGCTTACCAATCTTCTTGCAAAGCACTTCAACATTTATAAAAATTAAATTAAAATTGACACGGTATTATTTAAAAAACAGCAGTAGATATTTGTTTTCATTGTTATCTGAAGATCTGTTATCATCAAGTGAAACTGAAGGACCATACCATAACAACATTTAGTGTGAACTTATTGTAATATCCATAATGCTGTTTTTCTCCCCGAAGTATGTCAAAATCCAATTGAGTCAGTTAATGGAAGAAATCAATCAACAAATCCGAGAAAAGGAGATTCCTACACAAACACAATTCCCCTTAGCAGCTGCTCCAGGTGTTCCTGTCTGGAGTTTTTGAATGGTGTCTTCATGCAGCCTATAATGTACATGTGTCTATATAGGTGTGCAAGTTCATAGGGCTGTCTTAGGCAAGGAATACTCCGAAATGGGTTTGCCACGTCTTTCTTCTGGAATATAGCCTACAACACCTAGTATTCATTAGTGGTCAACCATTCAGGTACTAACCAGGGCTAATTAGACAGGATCTGCTGCGTTGTTGTAGGTTTTTTGGGTTGTGTGGCCATTACCTAGATGGATCTGAGTTGAGGTCTCTGATGGGTTGTCTTTCCTTCGTTGTTCTGTTGCTGGGGGGAAGTACTGCCTTGCTCAGGATCCTTACTGTTTCCCCTCTTACTTCTTCCACTTCTTCCTCGGGGAGGTGGTAAATTGCTGATTCGATATTAGCAATGATGTTTTCTACTGGGATCATAGTGGTGGTCACAGCAAAACTGTCTCCTTTAGCCATCATGGATACTTGGTCTTCAGAGAGTTGTCTGTCCGCCAGGTTGATGATGGTTTGCGATGTATCCAATTCTGGTTTCAACTGTTGCTTTTCGCATTTGTGGAATTTTTGTTTTTGTCTATTGGTGTGGAGAGTCATGTCTTTCTCCATTTTTCTGTAAGTGAAATTGTCTATTTTGTCCCAGTTTTGGAGATCCATCTTTTGGCTGATGTTGATATGGAGGTGCAACAGTTCCTTGTCTGTATTTTCGAGTTATTTGTGGATGGTGTGAATTCTCTCTCGTAAGAGACTGCATTCCAGGCTATCATAGATACTGTGAGCCTGTGGTGTTTTGAAAGTCCTTTTGGCTGCAAAAAATTGTAGGATAGTATCTGTGTCTCTGCAGTGTAGAAGGAAAGTCAGAGAGCACAGTAGATGTGCTTTCCTGGTCCTTAGTTTTTCCAATTTTCATGTGTCTCAGAACAGTTTCTCCCTATAGAGATGTTCAATGTATTGTCGAAGGTTTCATGGCTGGAATCACTGGATTGTTGTAGGTTTTTTAGGATGTGGGGCCATGTTCTAGAACCTGGCCACACAGCCCGAAAAACCTACAACAACCCAGTGATTCTGGCCACGAAAGCCTTCAACAATACAGGATCTAATGATATCTGTCAGTGCATGGACAAAACTGGATTCTCGCCATTACTGAACAGCATCTTAAGACTAAAAAATTGTGTGCTTCTGAGAGATGGACAAACCTTTTGGAAATCTGGAAATAAATGCATTGGAAGAGCAAAATGATACAAGTGGCCAATTTATTTCCTCAATCTCATAAAGTAATTTCAAAATATAATGATCAGTCACTTACTGCATGGATGTCCTAAAAACTTCACGTCATCGATAGCCAGGTATCCTTGGTGACCTGAAGTGATTACTTCAAAAACTATCTGAAACACAAAAAGGGCAGTTCTATAGATTAGTGCTATCAATAGAAATAAAGATGTGTGCTCTGCAAATGTAAGAACTACTTCTCAAAGAAGCTGCAAAATGCTTAGAAGTAAGATTATAAAACAACACAGCATTTCTGATTACTTGTATCCAAGCTGTGTATTTGATGGAAAATTACTCACACTTGTATCAGTAAGCAATTCACTACCTGGCTCATAAGATCAATAGAAGAAAATGAGCTGAGAAAGTTCATCTTACAACAGCAACATGCATTGTTTGCTTTCCAAACTTATAAATGCGCAATAAGTATTTGGTTACATTACCTTAACAATCCCATCCATCCACCTTCACAAAATAGTCCTGCAATATGTATTATGGTACAACTCCCAAATTTGTGGATAGGTTTCAAAACACCTTCCTTTCCCCATGGAAACTATGGATAATAATGAACGTTACATAATGAACCCAGGAAATATATCACAATCACATTGGAGAATCTATAGCAGGCCACAGATGCTTCCAGGATTATATTTTGATGTGTTTAGAATCCATGGAAAAGCAAGTTGCACTGCATTTCTATCTTTTTACATTTTATTCATATTCTTTTAGACGAGTGACAATTTGAAAAAGGAGAGGGTTAAAAATTATATGATTAAATCCTTTGTTATATTTCAAGTGTCATAATGAATCAGTACTTTTTTCTGTATTGCTTTTTAAGATGTCTGCAGTTCATAATATAATAGAAATGGCAGACTTGCTCAAATGAAGATGGGAGAACGAAATAAGGAAAGGTTGTGAGGGAGGAGAAACACAGGCTGTTCTAAACACAAAGCTGCTATGAAATCCAAGCAACGCTTTTTGGAAATGTTCTTCTTGTCTACAAAACTATAAAAAGAGCACAAGCGAAGGCAGTCTTTTCTCATCCCTCTCACCTGGAACAAATCACCTGGGGCATGATACCAGCAGGTACTTTTAAGAAAGTTGTGCTGTCTTCTTCAAATTCCTCAAGTGAGCTGTCTTCCCAATTTAATGATAGGAAAAAGTGTTAGTGTTGGGTTAAGGGGAGTAGCAGATCGAATAAGATTCCCCCCCCCCCCCCCGCTAAGATGAAAGGACAGATTTGCAGAATTATTTGGTGAAGGAAATCCATGTGTGCAAGGAACAAAGGGGGCTTTTTATTGTGTGGCGATAGGTTTGGTTATGTGATGCTACCACTGGTGAAATATGGGCAGTAATGTATATTTTTAACTATGCTCAATTTACAAATTAAATAAATGAAATCTCGAATCCCATTCACTGCTTCCTTCCCCTCTTATGAATCCTTGCATGATCCAGGCCAACTTCTGGAAAGCTGTACTTACTCTGGAATCATAGATTCATAGAATTGGAAGAGACCTCGTGGGCCATCCAGTCCAACCCTCTGCCAAGAAGCAGGAAAATTGCATTCAAAGCACCCCCCGACAGATGACCATCAAGCCTCTGTTTAAAAGCCTCCAAAAAAGGAGCCTCCACCACACTCCGGGGCAGAGACAGTTAGGAAGTTCTTCCTAATCTTTAGGTGGAATCTCCTTTTCTGTAGTTTGGAGCCATTGTTCCGCATCCTAATCTCCAGGGCAGCAGAAAACAAACTTGCTCTGTCCTCCCTATGTCTTCCCCTCACCTATTTATACATGGCCATCATGTCTCCTCTCAGCCTTCTCTTCTTCAAGCTAAACATGCCCACCTCTTTAAGCCGCTCCTCATAAGGCTTGTTCTCTATATCCTTGATCATTTTAGTCTCCCTCCTCTGGACACTTCAGAGTCAAGTGACTGGCTTGACTCTGAAGGAGTTGGGGGAGGTGACGGCCGACTGGGCGCTCTGGCATGGGATGGTCCATGAGCTCACAAAGATTGGGAAGTGACTGAACAAATAAACAACAACAACAACAACAACCTCTAGACACCTTGCCACATCTCCCCTCATTTGTGGTGTCCAGAATTGGACACACTATTCCAGATATGCACGCCAAAATCTCATTGGCTTTTCTTGCTGCTGCATGACATTGTTAGCATGTTTAACTTGTTGTCCAAGAGGAGAAATAACATTTCCTCACTTCACAAAATTCTACTTTTGTTTCCAATAAGTCTGCATACAAATCACAATGAACTCTTTTTCTACCTAAAAAATAACTTCAGTTCTGATTTTTATAAAATAAAAATACAGAGCATTTTCATCGCAAAACCCCCAGAAGTGTAGGATTTTTAAAATCCCTCATTTTTACCTTACAGTAACAAAAATAAACAACCAATGAATTGATCCCAGTCAGGAAAGAGTATAAAACTTCTGGTTCAAAATGACTTAAGTATCCTCTTCGGTTTAAAGGACCAGAACTATAGCTTGCAAACTATCCTTTCTTTTTACTGTAATTCTGTATTTTCAATAAACTCATCCCTGGGTGGGTCCAGAGGGTAACCGTAGAGCCCTCAACAAGGCAAACTAGGTGTCTGGCTTGGTGATTGAGTGGGGAAGCTGACTGGAAGTCTAGCCCCGAGGATCATCATGAGTTCCCAGGGTTGATTGGACTTTCCCATCCAGAATGTCCCTTTGTTATTGACATGTCCTCAACACCCTGAACCATGGAACCAGACTTTGACAGAACTCCAGTTCAATCAGGTGAATGCTGATAACCTTAGTATTGTAATACTAGAACTCCGTGTATTTGGTAATACTAGAAATTTCTCTACCTGGGGATGCTTGGTAAAAATGGGAAATGAAGGAAGTTCTGTTTGTCCTGGCCAGGTTTTGACCTTTGTCGGAGTATGTTATGAAAAGTTGGGATGTTGTGGTAAGTCCTATTAGTAAGAAGAAATTTAAGAGATATTTCACAGAGATCTTACCCCTCTATAGCCCCTGGTGCTTGACATTTGATAACTTGGTGCCTCACTTTTATTATGTCCATCTTTAAGATTTCTTTTGTTTTCTGTGCATAAATCACATTGATCATCTCAGCCAAACAGAGAATATCTAGTTATGGGACTGTAAAGAGGGCCTCACAATGCCATATGGTAAATTATATGTCACAAAAGCAAAATATATTTTGTAACCAATGAAATTTGTTGAACTGGGATGGACTGTCTGATAGTTTTTAATGTTGCCAAACACAGCCCCCCCCCCCCCCCCCCCCACCACCAATAACTAAGTATTCGGCACACAACTATAGCTCATTTAGAAGTCAAATTTCTGTTGATGTCTAAAAAATGTGTTAAATTCCTATACAGAACTAAATATTCTTATTCAATGTTGAACCCCCATGTTTGGTTCAAGATTATGAAAATGTAATTGCGAATGTGGTGCCTTTTTGCATGCAGATGGGGATGCATATAAACATTTGCTGTGCATTTGCTTGTGTATTTGGGTGTGCATTCAGTTGCATCACTTCATTCTTCAGTGTAAGAACTGCACAGAAATTTTAATGCATAATTCCACATGTAAAGCTTTATTCCAGCCAGCCTAAAAGTAGGATATTGGTCAGTATCAAAGCTCTCCTTTTATTCTGTAATTCTCTTTCCCTTGGCAAAATACTGATTATATTATTATTTATCCAAAGAATAAAGAAGCAACTGAGTTTCTAGTTTTTGAGGGATCTACTATTTCCTCCAAATGATTAACTCCTTAAATACATGTGTAAGATTCAAGTTCAGAGGTTTCGCTGTATGCCTGTACAAAGAGGCAAATACAATGCGGAGAAGGGGAAAGAACATGGGTAAAACAGAAGTGATGGACATCATCATCCCACTGTTTTGTATTACGGGAAGTAATTAGCATGTGGATTTTGAAATAGCAGCTTCCCACCCCCCAACACATTTTAAGTCCCTAGCATTCTTCAGAGCTATTGTCTAGGAATAAAAGGAAAATCCCTAGAATACAGTAGAGTGGCACTAAGCATTTCCTTCCAGCTTCCAGTAATCGTTGAGAAATGATCTGAGATTAGTGGCACAAATGCATAAACAGCAGCCAGCATAAAATGACTAGAATACAATGATGTCAAATGGTTAAGCTTCCAGTAGCCTTTACGTAAATATAGAAGGTATTTTATAGCTTGCTTTAAAAGGGGTGGGTGTGGGGAATCACTATGTTAAGTTTAGTACCACAACCCAATGGGGTTTTAGTATAAAAGGGTTCAGATCTGTTACTCATCCTTCTATTCATATGTCCAGTATTATTTCTTGTGGCACAGGTTTGGTCAAAATAGAATGTTTGCCTTTCTTGGCATTGAATATTTGCCTTTCTATGTTTGCTAGCCACCCTTAGTCCCCAGTCCCCATGGGGAAATGGGGCAGGATATAAATTAAGTATTATTATTATTATTATTATTATTATTATTATTATTATTATTATCAGAAGGTCCCTTTTTGTTTCTTTTTAAATCAGGAAAAATCCTACTTATTTGATCCTGCTACCACCCTGTCACTCACAGACTGTGGAAAGGGGAATAACTCTTTTTTTACCCTCTTTTAGAGATTGACCTCCAGCAAAGGATCACCGCCTTGTCGTGGCACTGGAGCTTGAGCACCTCAATGATGTCATGAGCGAAACCGTGAAGGGCCACCCAAGACGGGACGGTCGTGGCAGAGAGGTCAGACCAAGCGTGATCCCTGGGAAGGATACTAGAGACAAAGTTGAAGTACTTTGGCCACATCATGAGGAGACAGCAAAGCCTAGAGAAGACAATTATGCTGGGGAAAGTGGAAGGTAAAAGGAAGACGGGCCGACCAAGGGCAAGATGGATGGATGGAATCCTTGAAGTGACTGGACCGACCTTGAAGGAGCTGGGGGTGGTGACAGCCGACAGGGAGCTCTGGCGTGGGCTGGTCCATGAGGTCACGAAGAGTCGGAGACGACTGAACGAATGAACAACAAAGAGATTGACATCTTTCTTGAGACTCCTGGGCTAACACTGGACCAAAATGCATCTAGATGAAAGCCCTTTCCACCTCAGCTGAAGCCAGCTGCAAAAAC